ATGTAACTTAGAGGAAATAGTGACATCATCAAGATGTTGACTTTCTACACTATCAAAAAACAAAAGTTAAAGAAGGAAACTTCCATCAATACTATAAAGTGATAAGAGAAAGATTAGATAAATTTCAACTGACATTAATGTTAACTGTTCATTTAATGAATGTTGAATGTTTCCTGAATGCAAACACTGAATTTCACCATTACAATATATACGGTCAACGACGAAATTATTTGTACACACATCATTTTTTAATATTTTTACCCATTTCTCAGAATCTAATGCCTGTATGATTCCAGGTTTTTTATATGATATTAAGCACAAAACAAGAAATATAAAACTCAGTTTTCAGAACAATCGGTTAAATAGAACAAGTTTGACAGGCAAATTATGCAAAATAGGAAAAAGACAAAATTATTCGTACAGAAGAAAATATTGTTTTAAATTGATTGATTTGTGTAAGTAATTTACATAATTATTTGCAAAATAACTTACCATTGACTTGTGACAGAGAATTATTAACTTCCACAAGTCTGGAAATAGTTACAGCACTATTTCAAACCAGGTAGCTATTTCTAGATTTACGGTACATTCCGTAAAAAAGAAGTTTAAATACTTTGGCATGTCAGGGAAATTACCTGGGCATGGAAGAAAATCTAAATTGTCACCAAGATCTACATGAAAACTGCATCACAGCAAAAATCTTGGCTTTATATTAACATATACAGTTGTTTTGAAAGACATCACCAAAAGTTTGGTTATGATGGATATCAGCATAAGTACTCACACAATACAATGTTGTTTAAATAGAAATGGGTTGTATGGAAACTGACCACGATGAACCCCCCCTTCACAAACCATGTCACATTGTTTCTCAGTTTAATTTTGCCAAACAAAACATTTTTGAAAATCTATGGCAAGAATTGAAAATTCGGAGAAATCATCAGTCACCAAAAAACCTTCAGGAATTAGAACATGCAATCATTGAAGAATGGAAGAAAATCCCAGAAAAGACTTGTTCAAATCTCATCAAAAACTTTAGAAAATGATTGCAGCAAGTTATAAAGATAAGAGACCATGCTATTGACTATTAAAATTGTGAAGATTGTTCAACTTTTTCTATTTTTTATACTGTATGAATAATTTTGTCTTTTCCTATTTTGCCTGCCAAATTTGTTGTATTTAACCTCCTGTTCTGAAAATTGAGTCTTATATTCCCTTTTTTATGCTTATTAACATATAAAAAAACCTGGCATCACATGGGCATTAGATTCTGAGAAATGGATAAAAATATTCAAAATTGATGGGTGTATGAATAATTTCTTCATTGACTATATATAGTAGTGTGTGCATTTAGGCAGCAAATGTTCTTTAAGACAACAGACTTTTGACTTTAAGTCATCAGGTAGAGACAAATACTGTAGTGATGTGGTCAAAGAGTGTTGTAATGTAGGAGTGTATATTAATTATTTATATTTGAGGATGTGGATTCTAAAATTATAATTGTATTTATTCATAAATGTTTTTGTTGTATAAGTATTACTTCAAGGATCATAAGTTTGATTTTGCTAGTATTTTTGGTATTCTTTGTGAGTAGCTGTCTAATGTTATTATTGATACTTATGCTGCTTATTAATGTGCTGTCTGATGGCACTCTGGACAGAAATGTGACCGGTGAGTCTCCATGAGTGTGGCTATGATGTGTCCTATGTAAGATGTTTTTTTTATTTGCAGAGAAACATTCTCCAAGTGGGCAAGTATACACATACACAATATTGGTTTTGTGTAAGGTGTTGGAAGTTTGGGATATATTATTTTTTAATAACTAGGTTGCTGGTTTTGAATTTTTTGTAGTAAATAATAAATCTGATATTTGTTTTTATCAACTGGTTTTACAAATCTATGTATGATGTTTTTATTGCTGTTGTAATTGGGGTGCATTTGATTTTGGTTATATATGTTAATGTTATTCTCAATGTTTATGACCATGGTTATTATTAAAATTGTTGCAGTTTAAATGAAATTTGATTTGCTTGTCAACTATGTAATTAGGGAATCCATTATTGATAAGTATTTGTTTTATATTATTTAATTCTTTAGTCCACTGATGGACTAAATATTGATTAAAAATTCTATTTCTAGATATTCTCATTGACTATAACAGCGATAATTTTATCACATCTCTGTACAAAATGTCTACTAGTTCCAACTCTTGCCTTCTAAACTACAACAGTGAATGCCCTGAAAAATATAAAATCATTAATGTCATTAATAAGTAAATCCAAAGAGTTAAACTCCTTTCCTCATCAAAAATAATTTATCTTAAAGAATTTAATGATATGAAGCATGATGAAACACTGAAAATCGAACAACACAAAAGTACAATATAACAGAATTTCTTCTTTTTCTCCATACCTCATTCTCTGATGAAGCTTTCATAAATAAAATGATTGATAAATGTTTCCTATTTGTTCTTTCTCTCACTCACTCACACACACACACACACACACACACACACACACACACACACACACACACACACTTTTTATTTATTTGTTTGAATGTTATTTTTAATGGATACTCATATTTGAGTAGATGCTCTGTTTTTATTTATTTGTTTCCATATACTTGCCTGAATATTTGAGAAATCTTGTTAGAAAAATATGTGCCATCCAACAGGATTCGAACCTGCATCCCCAAATCTGATGTGCTTTGACTTCACAGCAATGTAGGACCTCCTGATGAAACAAAGCCTGAATTGTGCTTTTGAACACATATCTTTCCCAATTCTTGAAATATACATATTTGCCCTGTTCCATATCCTAACATAAACAAATACAATTTTTTTAGGAATGGATTAAATCTGACATATTTTTAATTTATTTGTTTAAACATTTAATAAATAGATAAAAACAGCATCTACTCAAATATATGAGTATCCATTAAAAATAATGTTTTTTATTGAATTTAATCAATTGAATGACAGTGCAAATATTCTGGGTTATGCATTTCATCTGCTAAAAGGACTTCATTGTACTAAAGAAATGTTCATATTGATGGAATTACATATGTGGATGGGGTAAGGGGGAAGCATAAAGGAGAAGTATTGAACATGTGGGAACACACACACACACATACATATATATATATATATATATATATATATATATATATAGAGAGAGAGAGAGAGATAGACATTTATCTAACCTGTTTGACTTGTATTACACCTTCATGAGATATGGAGAAAAAGAAATAAATTTTGTTTTGTGTTTGATTTTCATTGATTAATCATGTTTCACATGCATTCAACTTGTTGAGCCATATCTATATATATATATGGTGCAATGGATAAATTGTCTTAATTATGCAAGAATGAAAATAATGCAGACCTCATTTTAACAGATATATTTACCAAAATTACACAAAAATATCTTGAAATACTAAAGAGTAAATTTATTTAATAAAATTGCCATTCACTTCAACCATGGCCTCCAGACAAACTCTTTTGGACAGTCTCCTTGTTTAAGTTGGTGAATGCTGCCATAATCCTTGCCTTCAATTCATCTTTGGTGTTACAAGAAGTTTTGTTGGTTTCTCACACAACTGTACTCCACACATAATAATCAAGGGGGTTGCAGTCTGGGGAGTTAGATGACCAGATGTAAGAGGTGATGTGATAGCAGAAATTGTCTGACAGCCATGACTGGGTTCTCCTGTTTGTGTTGCATGGTGTAGAATCCTGTTGCCAGACATATAGGGCATTCCTTGCCACCCTCTTGACCCAGGGCAGCACTAGCTCCTCAAGGCACTTAATGTTGCCCTCTGTGTTGAGTCTGAGGCCCTGTGGGAAAATGAATGGAGGCATCATATCGCCATCACTAGTGATCACTCCAAACACCTTCATAATCACCATTAGACTCGTACAACTCTTTCTGAATCTTCTGTACTGTCCTCAGTTTGATACCAAAACTCTCTGAAATGTCCATATTGGAGCTTCTGGCACAAATGCCAAGTAGTACAGTATGGCAATGACAAATTTCTGGTGGAGTGAATTGTGTCATGGTGCTCTTTTTCCCACAGTGTACAAATGACCCTACTATAATGTGCTGTTGACCAAAACAAACATACATGCATAAAATTTAAAATATAAAATTGCGACAATTTACCCATCGCACCCTGTGTGTGTGTGTGTGTGTACACACACACCACACACATATACACACATACATATATATAAATTAGAAAAAAAATATATGCCCAAATGGTGATAAAAGGAATAAAGATTAAATCTGTTGTTTTACTCTTTAATATCTAGCATATTATTTCTGTTTTCTTTTCTCTTTAACCATGACTGCTTGAGATCAAAGTCATGTAACAGCTGTTTTCATCAAACTGCACTTGATAATAAATGTACATTTTGGGCGAGTCTTATCTTAACAACTCTATTTAGTTCTATTGTAAAGAAAAAAAAAAAAAATTAAATTTCTATTATTAAAACAGCTTGAAATTTATCTTTCTAAGTGGGCCAATTCAAATAAAATGTCTAAAAATGAAAACTTTAGAGAAAATATCTTGGAATTTTCTGGGATCCAAGTGTAGCCACCCTCCCCCTCTAAAAAAATAAAATGATATTAAGACAACTTGAAATATGAAAATTTTATATATATATATACACACACACACACACATATATATATATATATATATATATATATATATATATATATATATACACACACACACACACACACTTCCTGAGTGTAAGTAACCTACTTTATAACATCCCTTAATCTGAACATATTTTTTTTATTTATTTTATATTTTATTCTGACATAAGAGCTTGCTTATTGTAAAAGAAATGTTAAACTTTATTGGTAACCACTTTAACCATTAATCTTGTATCTGTGCTTATTATACTAACTAATGTTATTGACTTAATCCATTCAAGACTGATATTGGTAAAATTATCATCAGGTTATTCTATCCAATATCAAATGAGGCTTACAGCCACATCACATTGAAACACCAGTTCCTGTCTGACTACCGAAGTTAAACAACATCGGGCATGGTCAGTATCTAGATGGGTGACTGGTTGGGAATACCAGGTGCAGTAAGCATGGATGTGCAGGTAGTGTAATGGATAATGGTTTGGAATTATTAATTGGAGAACAGTTTCAATTCCCATTGGGTTCTTTATATTCACTTAGGCACAAATACCCTTGGGAAAGGTATGAATCCACCTATTCTCTTCCCAGCTATGGGTTAATTAGTAAGACCTGTATCACTAAATCATTATCTCCAAAAAAAATTCTTACAATTTAAAAATATTTCCTGGCTTTAAATAACCTGCAAAGGATTGATAAACTGTAGAAAATGAATCGATCCTCACAGTGATGGGTTAAATAGCAGGGTAGACTTGGCTCGCTAGCATTGGATGGCAACCAGTCTAAGAGAAGGCAAACTCTGAAGTCAAACTGTGGAGAAAGCAACAGGAAAACACTCCACTATCTTTCCCAAAAATGCATAGTAGTTCAGACAGTAATCTGTGGTGTCATGATCACCTACATTTTGAACAGGCATGGCATTTTTTTCAAAATTACTTTGTGTTTATATAAGGATATTTCCTTTTTATATATTTAGATTATGGAGTTGGTATTTCACCAACTTCCCACAAAGTTAGGATGTGACACAAGTTTGATTTTTTTTTTTTCTTTTTAATTTTTTTTTTTTTTTTTTAATTTTTTTTTTTTTAATTTATATAAATGTTGGGTAGCATACATACAAACCAAGAACAAAAACTGTCCAATCCCAACAACCACTGTGATGCTGCCATTGGTTAGCACCAACCATCTCTCTTTAGTTAAATTAGGAAAGTGTCACTGCAAGGGTGGAATCCCAGAGACCAGGCTTCCCTCATAGTTTAGAGAGGAGAATAGATACTATATTTAGATCCCAGCTCAAAGACTGGAAACAATGTTGACTGTTCAAAAGTAAATACTTATCTTTCCACCCATGTGCACAGAATGTGATATAAGTCAAAATTTAAAAGTGGGATTTGCATAAAAATTGCTCAAGCCTCCTCAGCACTTGCACTTCTGGGTACACCTCAGGTATTTGTTAATGTCACAGCCCTTTCTAAAAGAGGGGTAATGCCTAGGGGACAAAGCCTCCAAAGTAGATTATAGAGCTTAGCTTGATATAAATCTATGGTGTCTGAGTATACATTAACCTACCAGATACCATAACTTTGCATATAAGGTGAGAGAGAGAGAGACGACTGAGCATTTTTTTTCTACTTTTTTTTTTTCTTTCATCAAATTTGTTATTAGAAATTAAATATATCAACATGTTGTAATAATATAGCTGATGCTAACCTCCATGAGAACAACTCATTTCATTTTCTTGGTCTCAATTTTTCACTCATGTGAAGTTGAGTGATTATATTGAATTAGGTCCGCTGCTAGGAAAGTTGTGACAGACAATTTTTTTTCTATCAGAATCCATCTTGCACATTTATAAATCTATCATTCGTCTGTGTACTGAATATTGCTGCCATGTCTGGTCTGGTGCTCTGGCTATATATCTTGAGATCAATGACAAAATCCAAAGAAGGGTTTATAATGTTATTGGTTCTGACTTAGCATCTAGACTTCAATTACTTTCTCAACACCATAATGTGACTTCCCTCTTGTTTCTATAAATATTTTCATGGCAATTGTTCTAATGAGCTTTCCTCCTTGGTACCTCAACTCCATGAATTGAAGCATACTACTAGATTGGCAATTAGGTTTCATCATTTTACTGTTGAAATAGCTAGATATAACAGTAAGTTCTATTTTAATTGTTTCTTTTCTCACACTTTTTGCCTGTGGAAATGTCTTCCAGTTTCTTGCTTTCCTGCCACCTATGGTCTTCAAAAATTTAAATGCAACATAAACTGCCATCTTGTCTTCCTGAAATGTTCTTTTATTGTCCTTTCACCTCACTAAAGGTTTTTCATTCTTATTCACTCTCAGTAACCATTTACACCTTAGTGGTCTGTCATGGGTATGACAATAAACTACATCCAACAGCAAGGCCTCTGTTCAGGAGATTTTGAGGAGCATGAAAACACTTCTTAATTGCTGGTGTCCCCAGGTCCACCCTGACCTGGGGTGGTAGCACTTGTTAGGGTCCCAGCTATGGGCAAATAGTAAACACCCAAACTTGGGTCAAAGCATTATGAATGTGTAAAAATATGTTTTTAATACCAGAAATACTTTATAAAAAGATTATTACCAGCAATAAATTTTTGGAAAAAGATATTACCAGCAATACATTTTCTTGAAAAAATAAAAAATAAAAAATAAAAATACCAGCAATAAAAATTTTGTCAGCATTAAATAACCCATTGAGGTTGATATGCTGTAAAACAAACCAAACTTTAGTGGTATTTTCACCTTGGTGAATGTAAAATGATTAAAAAAAATGTGTAGTAATATACAAAATTAAGCAATGACTCAATTATTTTCTGTTGCTCAGATGTGTAGGCAGATTAGAGAATTAATTTTTTTTTTTTTTTATCCACAATTTTATTATTTAAATGTATATTCTTTTCACTTAATTTCCATTCACTCTACAGGGAATTGTTATAAAATGCCTTATCATTGGTTTTTCATTAATATATTAACTGAATACAAAAGCTTTGAAAACTATTGAGGCATATGCTAACAGGTGGAAAATTTATTACCAACTCAGGAGTGTTCTTAATAAAGACGTGATGTTCTTTTTCCTGATGAGCTCTAACACTTGATGATTTGATTGGTTCATCATCTAACCAATCACAAAACTTCTGTTAACAATATTATTCCAAATAGTTTTGTTTTTTCTTATATTAAGTAATATTGTAAGCATAATCTAGGTTACTGAATTCAATAATTTAAAGCTTTTGACAAGACACCACATGTTTTATACATAATGGTAATTGTTAAGAAATGGACAAGGTCTGACAATTTATTTATTAAAGACATTTTTTATGTTTAACGTTGTTATTTTATAGATACAAGTATTTAAGCAAATGCTCTGTTTATGATAAACAGTATTAAATAACATTTACCGGCCTGAATGTCCGAGAAATTTTCATAGAAAATATTCGTTCTTTGACAGGATTCGAACCTGCATCCTATAATGGAACCGTTATATACGCTGACGTGCCTTACCTCTAGGCTACAAAAGAAGCGTTTGGTAGACAAGGTCGAATTTACTGCTTATAAACTCCAATCTTCCATGAATCTCGTACATTCATAACTGCTCTTGGCGTATCGAATGTAAACAAATGACGTCATATGTTAAGAATGGACAAGGTCCGACAATTTTATTTATTAAAGACATTTTTTCTATAACGTTAACAATTTTTAAACATTTAAAAAATGCTCTGTTTATGATAAATATATTAAATAACATTTACCGGCCTAATATATAATGGTAATTGAAAATATTAGATGTTTCTTTATAAGGAAACATTCGAACATTCATTGACTGAACCGTCATATAAAACCTGACGTTTAAACCTCTTTCTTAAAACAGTTTTTCAAGAAAATAGGTTTCACAAGTCCAGTGGCTGTTATTGCTCTTCCACTATTGATGGGGTTTTCCTTCCTAACTTTTTACTTGAAGTAGTGTGGAATGTAAATCTAATTGTATTTGTCTATTGGAGGTAATTATTTAGTTAAGTCTGGCACAAGGCTACAAATGAGATTTTTAGTGAAAATTGAACATTAAACAATAGTAATGATTGTCTTAAATTAGCTGACTAACTTTTATCCCATTATTAATGTATTAAATTTTCTTTTTATGACAATAATAATATAATATTAGATGTTTCCTTATAAGGAAACATTCAGCATTCATTGACTGAGAAGTCAGTGTCAGTTGCAATTTATAAAATTTCTCTTAAAACAGTTTTCAAGGCTGGGGTTTCACAAGTCCAGTGGCTGTCGTTTTTTCCACTATTGATGGGGTTTTCCTTCCTAACTTTTGACTTGCTTAGTGTGGAATGTAAATCTAATTGTATTTGTCTATTAGAGGTAATTATTTAGTTAAGTCTGGCACAAGGCTACAAATGAGATACCTAGTGAAGATTGAACTCTTAAACAATAGTAATGATTATGTCTTAAATTAGCTGACTAACTTTTATCCCATTATTAATGTATTAAATTTTCTTTTTATGACAATAATAATAATATTAGCCATTTCCTTATAAGGAAACATTCAGCATTCATTGACTGAGAAGTCAGTGCTACTTTCAGTTGAAATTTATAAAATCTTTCTCTTAAAACCATTTTTCAGTAAAATAGCTTTCTCAAGTCAAGTGATGGGGGATTTCCTTCCTAACCTTTTGTTTGAAGTGGTTTGGAATATCAACAACTTGATTATACCATTATTTTATCTTCGAGTTGCATATGATATCTATTTTACTTGTTGCTGTTGTTGAAAGTCTTCAAGTGATGTGGTTTCTGTTATTTGGTACAGTTCTTTGTGATTGTGTAGTGCCAGTTCACAATGTTTGCAGGACAGTCTCAAGACCCACAGGCTTCACTCACTTGAAGCTATTTGTAACCATTGATCTTAGAAAGTGGTTGTATATGGCTGTCAGTTCAGATATTTCTGGATTAATTTGGTGCTGTGCATGACATCTGTACGAAAGTCTCAATCTGATGAGACTTAAACTATTTTGTCATTTCCTTCAAACATTTTAGACTTTTTGAAATGTTTTATAAGATTCTCTAGAGTTATTTTTCAAATTGAACATTTTAAAAGCCTTGAAAAAAAAAAAAAGAAGCCAAATTATACTAAATTCTACCAGTTTATGGTTTTTAATACACTTTATATATTGAATGATTTGAAACTTGGTCCTGTTTTATTTCATCTGTTGAAGATGATTCTTTTTCTTCTATGTGCTGTGTCCCTTCAGGATGTGGACAATCATGGTTTCTTGTCCTTTGTACCTTTTAGTAAAGTTTGTCTTTTTGCAATCTCTCCTAACCATTCACACAAGCTTTACTCTGTCCCTCATGCCTTCAATATGTCTTGTGAGTGTCAAGATCATGGCTCTCCACAATTTCCTGTTCTTTGT